CACTCTTGTAGGAAACTCTTGTGGGACACTCTTGTGGGACACTCTTGTGGGACACTCTTGTAGGAAACTCTTGCGGGACACTCTTAAGGGACACTCTTGTGGGACACTATCGTGGGACACTCTTGTGGGACACTCTTAAGGGACACTCTTGTGAGACACTCTTGTGGGACACTGTTGTGGGACACTCTTGTGGGACACTCTTGTGGGACACTCTTGTAACTCTTGTAGGAAACTCTTGCGGCATACTCTTGTAGGACACTCTTGTGGGACACTCTTGTAGGACACTCTTGTGGGAAACTCTTGTAGGGAACTCTTGCGGAACACTCTTGTGGGACACTCTTGTAGGATACTATTGCGGGACACTCTTAAGGGACACTCTTGTGGGACACTATCGTGGGAAACTCTTGTGGGACACTCTTGTAGGACACTCTTGTGGGACACTCTTGTAGGGCACTCTTGTGGGACACTCTTGTGGGACACTCTTGTAGGAAACTCTTGTGGGACACTCTTGTAGGACACTCTTGTGGGACACTCTTATAGGACACTCTTGGGGGACACTCTTGTAGGACACTCTTGTGGGACACTCTTGTAGGACACTCTTGTGGGACACTCTTACGGGACACTCTTGTAGGACACTCTTGTGGGTCACTCTTATGGGACACTCTTGTCGGACACTCTTGTGGGACACACTTGTGAGACACTCTTGTGGGACACTCTTGTGGGACACTCTTGTGGGACACTCTTGTGGGACACTCTTGTGGGACACTCTTGTGGGACACTCTTGTGGGAGACTCTTGCGGGACACCCTTGTAGGAAACTCTTGTGGGATACTCTTGTAGGACACTCTTGTGGGACACTCTTGTAGGACACTCTTGTGGGACACTCCTGTAGGACACTCTTGTGGGACACCCTTGTGGGACACTCTTGTGGGACACTCTTGTAGGACACTCTTGTGGGACACTCTTGTAGGACACTCTTGTGGGACACTCTTAAAGGACACTCTTGCGGGACACTCTTAAGGGACACTCTTGTGGGACACTCTTGTACGAAACTCTTGTGGGAGACTCTTGTAGGACACTCTTGTGGGACACTCTTGTAGGACACTCTTGT